GCTTGGTCATACAATTCTAAGACATGTAGAAAATCTCCATCAAATGATCATCAGATAGCTTATGCTATGGGCACTGCTTCACCTTTTTATTAAATCTCAATCATGCCTCACATAATACCTTACTAGGTCGTTGCCTTAAATAGCTTATATCATCCCTCAGTTGCAACATAATTTAGCGTGGGAAGAAGCTCTCCAAAAACGTGTCCTTTATCTATCCCTAGTTGGTTATAGAATCATGTGGTAAAGCATTCAACCACATTGTTGCTTTTCTAGAATGTGATAATGGAAACAACCTCAGAAGAACGCCAGTTCTAACCTTGGGTATCTCGAAAGACATACAAGTACCCATAAAGTTCATCAAATGCAGGTTTAGATCGTATAAATAAGTTGTCACGCCCAGAACCTACACCTTGGACGTGGCTGGCACTCGAGTACCATCGTTGGTCCCCAAGCGAACCCTTGGCCTGACTCATTACTCAGTGAAAGACTTACTCAATCAAAATATGAACTTTAATGTAAATATTAACTCATAAAGTGTCAACTATAACTCAACTTTGTATAAGTTTAATGAAATATTCAAATAGCCATAAGAAGGCAACTCCAGTATGAAACAATAACAAGAAATGGGAAAAGACTCATTAACTACTACTGTCTATGAAACCTCTAATAACTATGAGAGATATCGGGACTGGACCCACAACATCTTCACAAAATTGGAATAAAATATTTGTGGAACCCTCTGGAAGCAAGGAGGCTCACCAAACTAGATGGAACACAATTGATATCAACGGAGTGCTTGTTGATGACCCTGAACACATGTATCTGCATCATAAAATGATGCAGGTCGAATGACATTAGTACATTGAATGTACAAGTATGTAAGGGGAAAGAGGAAGCATAAGCAACTGAACTGATACTATGAGAATTCCTACTCACCTCATCTCAACACAACTCAATTTGAAAACAACAATAAGAGATGCAATATTTAGAACATTATCAAGTAGGAGATATACTCAATGATGTATAAAAATACAATAAAAAGAATATTTACTCTTAATTGGGAGATTCTCTAACCGACAACCATCATTATGAGCAACGTGATGATACAACATCTCGCCCACGCTGCCAAAACTGTCCTATACCTTGTTGGGGTATAAGACATCTCAACTAATTGGATCCACTAAACTATGCTAAAAAGCAATCAGGAATTATCTAAAAAAGTATGATCCTTTACCCATGTTGGCATACATAGTTATGAGGATTTTGAGTTGTTTGAACTTATCCCCATATCAGTGTTCAATACTACTACCAATAATATATATAACTCATGCTCATATGTTAGAAACATAACTCTTTCTGAATTAGAGATAATTACTCAAACTATCCTCCTAGAAGAGGTAATTGCTCTGAAATATCTTTTGAACTGATAAACTCTTTTCAAAAATAAAGTTTCTCTTTTCTCAGTGTATAAAATGATACATTTGGGAATACTTAGTTCCCTTAAACATTTAATCAAAATCGCCTCTTTAAAACTTTTCCTCAAAACATAGTTTAAATCATAATAATCGACTTTCAAAGGCTCTCAAGACTTATAACTCAACATATCGTTCATTTTAAGGATGAAAATTTCATTTCAGAGGCTAAAATATAGACTTACCATCATTGTTTTCTCCTTTTGTTTGATATTAACAATATTTTAAGTAAGTCTTACCAGTAATTAATCTTAATTTATACAGTGATAGTCTCTCACAAGAGGTCTTTGAAGCATAGATGTAAGTATGATACGATTATATGTTGTACTTCAAAAGAAAGCTTTGGAAAACAACATATTTGAGGATCTCCAATTTTGGGTGGCCCTGGTTGGGGTTGGGGATTGTTGACGATCTGGAATGATTTGTTTGTAATCCAACATAATAACTAGGTTGTATATGGCATGAAATTATTCTGATTAATTTGTGATGAATTGAATTCCTTTTTCCCCTTGTAGCTTTAAAAATAATATGACGTGATTTATGAATAATCAAACAAAATAAGCACGTTGAATATAATATGAAGTTATATGATTCTGTCTTGACTTACATATCAAAATTCATTAGTTTTGATGTGATGACTTGAAAAAATATTCATTCAATTAACTCAAAATTATTTTCTCAAATAATTTTTTTAATCGTCACATTTTTATTCAACTTCTGTTTACTTTATATACCATAGAAAAGTGCGAGAAAATATAGGAAAGTAAATACATACCTAATCAAAGAAAAATATCGCTATTTTCACAAGTTTTCTTACCATATCCAAAAGGGACTCTTTTTCAATACTTTACTTAATAGAGTTGTTTTTCATATCCCAAATTAACCTTATTACTTAATTAATTGGGTCAATTTGAGATACAGTAGATAACTTTGTTAAGTAAAATATTGAAAAAAGCCTTTTTTAGATACGATAAGATAACTTTGTGAAAATATTATTGACTTTCCTATACTTTCTTGCACATTATTCTTGTATATAAAGTGAAGAAAAAATGATTTGGTTAAAGTTTAGTGAGTGATCAAATTAATTTAATTTGGTTTACGCTGAAATGGAACGTGAGTCGATAGAAAAAAAAAACATTCAAAAATCCAACTAGGTTTAGAGAAAAAAACTTAGACTATGTAACCTAATACATTTATTACTCAATCTCGTAAGTTTCAATATATGGAGTATTTCTTTTCCAATTTGGGAGGCTTCGCATACGAAAACTTTCGCAGATTTTTTACCGACCTCCAAGAGATTTTAATTCTATTCCTACTAGTACAAATTAGGAAATAGTAATTGTTACTTAACTAGACACCTTCTATTACCAAAAGCACAAAATTTCCCTTAAAAACCTACATATACATATTCCTTTTGTTTTTCTTATTTGTTTGTAGCATTGCCATTTTTTTCTTATCAATATGATGAAAAAACTGTATTGTAAAATGTTAGTCAAAGTTTTTATAGTTTGACTCTAAAAATGGAAAGTATGACAATTACTAATGGACAGATATAGTTATACTAAAAATTTTCCATTCAAAATTATTTTCTCATTTAATTTTCAAAAATAATTTGATTAATCATCAAACTTTAACCAAATCAACTTCTCTTTACTTTATATATCAAAGGGATGTGGAAGAAAATATAAGATAGTAAATCCATGCATAATTAAACAAAAAGACCACTAATATTTTCACAAGATTGCCTTACCAAATCTAAAAAGGACTCTCATTTAATATTTTACTTAATAAAGTTGTATACCATATTCCAAAATAAACCCGACTTATTAAGTTGTATTTGGATGGTTTTACCTCGGTAGGTTCCAGAAAAAAGAATGCATCTCACTAAGCGTGACGTAGACGATCTAAGCCAGCTATTAGTAAACTTGGGAAGTTACAATTACTCTATTTTTTATATTATACTTTTTTCCCAATTCGGGACACTTACGTACCAAAACTTTTAGCATATTTTTGACCAAACCTCCCAAGAGCATTCGATTCTCTTTCCTATTCAAATCATGATTAATACTAATTATAATTTAAATAGGCAACTTGTAATACCAAAGGTATAAAATTCCCCCAAAACACCTATATATACGTACTCATTCTTCTCAGGACTCTACATCGAATCAAGTTATGGCAGAAGAAGATCAAAGCAAGAAGAAAACAAACAATCCCAAGTCTTATCAAGGGAGGAAATAATACAGAAAGAGTAAATCAATGCAGCTTGCAACTCTCTACGATATCAAGGTTTGTACTGTTATTACTGGTCCTAATGGGGAACTCCAAACTTGGCCTGACAATTTGGATGCCTGTAAAGAAGTTCTTCATCTCTACTCTCAAAATCTAAAACCCGAAAAGAAGCACAAGGAATCATCAACACCAATACCAAAACCAGAAGAAGAACAAAGAGAGAAAGATATCCTGATGCTAGTTGAATCAAAGCTTGCTGCTGTCAACAAGAGAATTCGTTTCTTGGAGAACAAGAATGTTGATGTTGCTGATAAGGGGAAAAGAAAGAGAATTGAGTGATTTATTTATATAGGTTTTTTCTTTTCGGTGTATTTTCTGAATGTTTTAAAGATTGGGATTGTGTGTGTTTTTTTCTTATTTGTTCGAGGATTTACGGTAGTTGAAAGATTTATCTTTGATCTGCAGATCCTTTTTTTCATTGTAGTGTTTGTTTTATCAGCAATTTGTCCAATATGAATGCAACTTTACCCTTTTTATTCGTATGTATGTATTGAATTGAACGGTGGATTAATCCCTCTAGTAGAATGGAAAACCAATATGATTTTAATTAAAATGCAGTACTTACATGAAAATTTAATGTCTAATATTAGGTAGGGTAGGGTTTGGGTTTGCTAGGCCTGGGTGGCATGTACCATAAGACAATAACTTCATAGAAAGTTAAAAATTAACAAGAATGTTTTTATTGCACTAAGAAGAAAGAAGGAATGAGTAGAAAAGAGCTCCTCCATTAATGTTTACATTATATGGTTCATGAAGATGAAATTAGAAGGGAATCAAAAGTTGGAAAATGTTACAAAGGGAAACTGATGAATTTAATCATTCCTAACATACAGACATGAGATATCATGCTGTATTTAACCACCTCAGGTGAGTTAACTGCGACAAATGCTTTTCTTTAGCATTGACCACAAGTTGAACATAAAAGCTTAACAAATCTTGATGTAAAAGACACATGTTGTAACAAGAACTAGAATCAATTTAGACAGAAGGAGAACAAACTTGTTGCAGGTGAGCACATAGGAAGCAACACCTCTTCTTGATATCACATAATGGAAATCGTTAACTTTTGTCAGGTCCATGGCAAAGTCAACTGAGGGATAGTCAGTAAGACACGATTAAAGGCATAGCTACAGTTACATGTGGAGTTGTCCTGAAACAACATCACGCTCAGCCTCTTTTTGTTTCAAAGTGAGGTTTGCAAATTGTTCATCGAGTTCCCTCGACGATTGTTGTAAGATGGCTTCTGTTGCTGTGGCTGTTGATGTTGTTGCTGATACAATGCTCGTAATCTTCCCCTTTCTCTTTCGAAAACTTCATGTTCTACTGCATATAAATTATTAGTTGCAGATTTCGATGAAACAAATGAAAATAAACTACTGGCTGTATATACGTTCAACTTCACCAAAACACCACCTATCCGACAAAACAGAACAAATCCTATTAAAGTCGTGCAACATCATCATATTTACTTTAGTTTGACTAAGTCTTGCAGTAGCTATTTTCTAGCCCTTGGTTGTCACTTTGTTATTTAATTAGTTCTTGATATTTTCCTAGTTGTAGTTAGTGCAGATTTGTTTTCCTAGAATTTAGGGCAAGTAGTTTAGTGGGATTATGATTCCACAAATTCTATAAGCCAATATTAGGCCACTGAACGTATTAAATAAAAAACTTGCAACTCCTTCTCTGCAAAATAGTTTCACTATTTTCTCTTCTCTTTCTTCTTCCCTATTATTTGTGTTTTGATTATTTAGCTTCCTGTTATGTTGAATTCTTCATTTGGTATCAGAGTCAGCACGATGAATGATCTTCAAGTAGTTGGTGGAATCAAAAAGCTCAATAACCAGAAATACAATCCATGGGCAACTTGTATAATGTCCTATATGCAAGGCCAAGATCTTTGGGAAGTCGTCACTGAAAGTGAAGTTACCCAACCAGAGGCAGAGGATGCCAATGGAACGTTTCGTAAGTGGAAGGTTAAAGCAGGCAAAGCAATGTTTGCGCTCAAAATAACAATCGACGAAGATGTGTTGGAGCATGTTCATGATGCTAAAACGCCTAAAGAAGCGTGGGACACATTTGTTGCACTTTTATCAAAGAAGAATGATTCAAGGCTACAACTTTTGGAGAGCGAGTTATTATCAACAGAGCAACTTAATATGACAATTGCCCAGTACTTTCACAAAATCAAAAGGATATGCCGTGAAATTTTAGATTTGGATTCAACAACTCCAATTGGGGAAACCAGGGTAAAAAGAATTATTATCCATGGTTTGAGATCTGAATATAGAGGTTTTGTTGCTGGTATAGAGGGATGTCCAAATCAGCCATCACTTGTTGAGTTTGAAAATTTACTTGCTAGCCAAGAAGCCATGGCGAAGAAAATGGCAGGACCCTCGATTAAGAATGAGGAAGAAGCCCTTTACACCAACAAAAGAAGGAACATCAAACAAGCTACTGGTGGGTTTAAAAAGAAACATTTTCAGGGAGATGAAAATTTTTGCTCAAGAGGAGTATCGAAGAATGAAAAGAACGATAGAAAATTCGAAGGGAAGTGTTACAATTGTGGGAAGAAGGGTGATATACCGTGAGTTTACGGTATTTTTAATACATTTCACTTAAGAGTTGTGTGTGTCTAGGGCCTTTTTGTATTGGTTTTTATGTGGTTTTATCATGTTTTGCAAGAAAGATCTTTAGGCGTGAAATTAAAGAGACAACTGAAAGAAATGAAGAATAAGGCATCTACGGACTGTAGGTCCATTGACGCTCCGTATATGGTGACTGTAGATCAGCAGGCAAGGCATGGAAGGCAAATTAGGGAAATCTGACCAAGTATGGAACCACGGTGGCCATTGACGGTCTGTAGATTTATCTACGGACCATACTGCTGATCCGTAGAATGATACTGCTAGGGTTCCAGTACCTACTGTGTGAAGATTCTAAGTTTCGAGCTACGAAGAGGGATTGACGGGCCGTAGATCAATCTACGGTCCGTACTGCAGTTCCGTCGTTTGCTTTAGAGAAGCTGATTTTTTGAAGCTGAATTATTTTCTATATCTTGGCTGACGAAAGGGACTCACAGACCGTATATCCATTGACGGTTCGTGAGTCAGTCTCGTGGAATGAAGACGCGTGGCTCAACAAACTTTTCTTATTTTGTTTCCCTTTTAATTTAGGACTTGTTTTCTATAAATAGGGAATGTAAACCTCATTTTTTGGGGTTAGACTTTATTAGTATTATTCTAGTTCTTGACTTGATAGATTAACTTGCAACTTTAGCAGTTTTTCATTTCCTAAGTTCCTTTTGAAGATTTTGGTGTTGCAATTCAAGTTGAATTTTTGGGTTTATTATTCTTCTTACGTAAGTTCATAATTCTTTCATCTAAAACAATAAATTGTGTTTATATGATTATCAGTAACTAAACTCCACAACTAGGGTTGTGGGAACCATGAGCGATTAACAAAGTATGAATAGTAACTAAGCAATTCTCTAATAGTGTTGTTGCATGCATTGATAATTCTTTCATTTAGAAGTCTTTTTAACGAGTGCACGCGTTAGAACTCTCTTTGTTGCTACTTGCCTGACCAAGGAGGTAATCAATAAGAAAAGAATTTTCAACATAGATTTACTGTGATACTATCTAATAGGCTAGTGTCGATTGGTGCGAAGTAATAACTAAGCCAAACATCGATGTGATGTCTAATATGAGGTAAAGGTAAGGGTTAGTAAATTATACACACGTAGCCGGACCAGGATGCTGGGTGAAATTCTTTAGATGCCAGACCAAGGATTTAGAGATACCTAACTTATCAGTTTGCATGTAGTACACTAGGAAAGGATTGCTATTACTAGGATAACTGCGTTATGACCTTGTGGGGAACACGTATACCTTAGTTAATTCTCTCATCTTGATAACAACCAAAATTGACTTTTGTTTACTAATTACTTACTGAATTCTTACAATTTGTTTCACAAATCCCCCCCTTTATTGACTTGTTTCTGGAAGTAATTTGACTAAACAAATATAATTGTTGGTTAAAGTGAAATCTGAACCATTTTCCTCGTGGGATCGACCCCAGCCTGCGAGTTTGGTTCTTTACTTGATAACGATCTCTTATGCTTCTTTAGGGAGGTGTAATTTGAGCATATCAAATTTTGGCGCCGCTGCCGGGGATTTTGGCTTTTAGATTTATTTTAACTATATTATTGAACTTTAGTCAAATATTTCCTAATTTTACTTTCTTTTTTTTTTGTTTCTCTCAGGTTTTGACTCTAGTGTATTCCAAGTATACGGAGCTAGGGTGAACCACTTACTCCTTACGATCTAGAGTTGAACCGAACTCTGCGAAGAATGAACAATCAAGGAGTTCAAGTTTATCCTATCGGAGGCAATCTAGGTGATGAAGTTGAAATGCAACCTTCGAGGGCAGTTGGTGGGGACAACCAGGTTCCAGCTGACAATCAATTTGGAGATACAATGAGGGTGCAGGGTCCACCAAGCCCACGACTGAATGACAATTATAGGGGAAACGTCAATATTGATGACTCTGAAGGACCTCTTGTCCTACCCCCTTTGCCTCTGGGGCACACATTTGTAGTGACCAGTAGCTTGATGCAGATGCTTACAACGAGGGGCTTCTTCTCGGGATCACCATCGAAGAACCCATATTCTCACATATCCAAGATAAGGGTAGTTTACAAAAGCTGTGTAGGTAGACCAGACTTGGATATGGATGTCATCGGATTGCGAGTGTTCCCTCTATCATTGACAGGCGATGCTGTTGTATGGTTCACTGAGCTCCCTTATAACTCAATTTATACATGGGACCAACTGAAGGATGTGTTCTTAGCAAGATATTATCCAGTGTCCAAGAAGCTCAATCAGAAAGATAAGGTCAACAATTTTGTGGGATTACCTGGAGAGTCTGTGAGTCGCTCTTGGGAAAAATTCACTGCCTTCGTAAGAGGTGTTCCAAATCACCGTATTGATGATGAGTCGCTAAATGAATATTTCTATCGAGGTCAGGATAACAATAATAAAACAGTGCTTGATACTATTGCTGGAGGTTCATATGGTGAGTGCACATACACACAGATTGCAGAAAAACTGGAGAAGATCTCTCGCAACAATAAAGCATGGAGCACTAGGAGGTCAGATACTGGAGAAACACATTTGCCGTTCATGCTACAAACAACCAGTCTATGGATGAGATTCGTGAGGAGATGGCTCAGATGAGGACCGAGTTACGGTTGGTTTTGAAATATGTGAGCGGAGCTGCGGAAAAGGTAAATGTTGTGAACTACTTGACTAGAACTCCACCACCAATTGAAGAGTGTTACTATGAAGATGATACTTATGTGTTGAATGATCATACGGGGGGTTTCCGACCAAACGCCCAAGGATCCAACACAGAAAATTGGCGCCAAGGTCAAGGAAACCAAGGTCAGAACTATGGCAATTACAGCCGAGAGGGTCAATACGTCTGGGATGGGACTTCAATCGCGACAACTACTATAACCAGAACAAATATGGCAACAGAAACAATCGGGTTGGACCTTATGTTCCCCCTCAAAATCGAGAATCTGGTACTAGGGAAGCTGGAGGCAATATGACGCGTATTGAAGATATGATGCAGAAGATGATGAGATGGTGTGATGTAACTAATGAGAATGTGAAGGAGATGAGAAACGACGTGTCTGGTATTGGTCAAAAGGTTGATTCCCATGCAGTGTCAATAAAGTATCTAGAGCAGCAGATGACTCAGTTGTCTACTACAGTGAACCCACGTCAACCTGGCACTCTTCCTAGCAACACCATCTAGAATCCAAAGAATGATGGTCATTGTATGGCAGTTACTACTCAAAGGGTAAGCAATCCATAGATCCACCTATGCCGTCTATGGTGGATGGTAAGATTAGAAAAGAAGATGATGTGGTAGGAGTTAGAGAAGAGTCTGAGAATGCGATAAAGAATGAAGCGGAGATATCTTAAAAAATGGTCCCAATACCTAGACCTCCACCACCTTTTCCACCGAGGTTAGTGAAGAAGACTGAAGATCGTAAATACCGCAGGTTTATTACTATGTTGAAGCAGCTTTCCATCAACGTTCCTTTGATAGAATCTTTGGAGAAAATGCATGGGTATGCGAAGTTTATGAAATATATGGTGACAAAGAAAAGGTCTATGTGTTTTGAAGATGATAATAGATTGCATCATTGTAGCGCTATTGCTACAAGGTCTCTTGTGCAGAAGAAGGAAGACCCTGGCGCTTTCACGATCCCATTTACTATAGGGTTGTTACATTTTGCTAAGGCATTCTGTGATCTTGGTGCTAGGATCAACCTTATGCCATTGTCTATATATAAAAAGTTGGGTCTAGGGGATCCAAAGCCTACTACGATGCAGTTACTTATGGCCAATTGAACCATAAAAAGGCCCATTGGTGTACTCCATGATGTCCTAGTAAAAGTGGAGTCGTTCATCTTTCTGGCGGATTTTGTGATTCTTGACTGTGAGGTTGATTTTGAGGTTCCCATCATCCTTGGGAGACCAATTCCTCCCCACAGGGCGTGCATTGATTGATATGGAGAAGGGGCAGATAAAGTTCAGACTGAACAATGAAGAAGCAACTTTCAATATTTATAGGTCCATGAAGCAGAGTAATGAGCTCCAAAAGGTATCTGCTATAACTTATAGAGTTGAGAGTGGAACAAAAGTGCAAATTGAAGAGACACTTGGTGTTGAGGCACTAGCAGCAGTTATGATGAATTTTGATAGTGATGGAATTGAAGAGTACGATGAGTTGGTGGCTGCACTCGACAGGTGCGAATATCAGTCAAAACCAAAGAAGTATGAGTTAGACATGAAGAATCGTGAGCCTCCACCCGCGAGACCATCTATTGTTGAGGCACCAAAATGAGAGCTCAAGGCTCTACCACCGCATTTGAGGTATGTATTATTGGGTAGAGATAATACTTTGCCGGTCATCATTGCAGCAGATTTAAATGCAAGACAAGTAGAGTGTTTGGTGACTATGTTAAAGAGGTTCAAGCGAGCTATTGAGTGGACTATTGCAGATATTATTGGGATTCCTCCTAGTATTTGTTCCCACAAAATGAAACTCATGCCAGATCACAAACCTAGTATTGAGCACCAAAGAAGATTAAATCTGCCTATGAAAGAGGTAGTTAAAAAGGAGTATCTATCCTATTGCAAATAGTAGTTGGGTATGTCCTATTCAATGTGTGCCCAAGAAATGAGGGATTACTGTGGTTCCTAATGAGAGAAACGAGCTAGTTCTGATGCGGTCTGTGACTGGATGGAGAGTCTGCATGGAATACTAAAAGCTAAATGCTTGGATAGAAAATGACCATTTCCCTATGCCATTCATGCATCAAATGTTGGATAGAGTTGCTGGTAAGGGTTGGTATTATTTTCTTGATGCTTATTCGGGCTACAATCAGATATCTATAGCTCTGAAGGACCAAGATAAGACTACATTCACTTGCCCTTATGGGACTTTTACCTTCAAATGGATGCCCTTTGGGTTGTGCAATGCTCCAGTGACCCTCCAGTGTTGTATGATGTCG